TTTCTGTTTTTTAGTTGGATTTTCTATAAAAGCGTGTTTTTAATTTTAGTTTTTTTAAACTATTATTTATTTATGTTTATCACATCAGAATTCTGTTATTTATGTAACGATTTCATTTTTTGTTATTTGAAAAGGCATACTTCCCGGTTAGTCCTATTTAAATTTATAGAAAAATTCAAGCCCTAAGGGCCATACTCCCCGGTTAGTCCTATTTAAATTTATAAAAAATTCCAGCCGTAAGGGTGAACATTACGTTACGACTTTGTTACGGCGGAAATGCTGAAATCGGACTTGTCCTCCGCCGTTGAAGTCTGTGCTTTCCTTATTTAGGGAATCTGGATAAAAGAAGGACTCTCAGATGACTAGAATCGTTGGGTATACTGACCCGAGAAGATCTCCAACGAAGAACTGTTGGGAAACCAACGCTGTCGCCCATCTCCGTTCGACCATCAGTCGGTTCAGTGTGGTCCTGTAATTATTAGTTGTGACAACATTCGCGCCCCGCGAACGCCAAAAATTATCAAGTTATGAAACCCAACACTAATGAAGAGCAGAAGTGTGACTAAAACGCAAGCTAAGTTGCAGGAACTACAAGTTTAACTAATAAAACAAACACTTTTAACTCCCATCTTTTTTTCCCACTCTATTCAGTGACATGGGCTTTCAATTAGTGTTAATAACCCTTTCTGTTTTAGTTAATTCAAAAGTCACGAGTGTTAATAAACAGTGGCAAAGAAGTTGTTTGTTTATTGACACTAAGACATGTTTAATTTAACTTGTGTGAATAGCCACTTCTGTTAATTTGTGAGACTTGTTTCTGGGAGTGATCTTTATTTACTCGAGTAATTTAATGAAAACGAGAAAATAATTTCTATTGCAATATCATAAAGGAATCGTTTCTTTGAATAGTTTTTTGCTTCGGCGCATATGGACGGCTCGACCGGTGGCGTTACCACGACCTTACAGAAAACCGGTGTTATTCAATTCTTGCTTGCTTTTCACCGAATGAGTGAGGTTGCCAGAGCTGGAAACCCCCCTCTCTCTCTAATTCTTGGGGACTTAAAGGACGTCTACGCACTTCTGATTCTCGAGGTGCAGGTTTCGATAGGCGGCGGTGGTCACTTTTCATCAGATGACCCGCCTGTTCCTTTGCCACCCTACATCTCTAGAAATAGAAATCTGATTTTATTTTTTTTGTAAAACGAAAGTATAATTCGGACTACCAAGAAAAAAGTTATACGTGGTCATATCTCATCAACATCATCAACAGCCTATAACAGTCCACTGCTGGACATAGGCCTCTCCTTAAAGGAGGTTTTGGCCTACTATACCACGCTGGCCAGACGGGTTGGTATAGGGTTTGTTTCAAGTTTTCCTTCTCTTTGCAGTGCTGTTGTCCTGCGTAGTTTGGTCCCTTAGTCGGCTCTTACGACACCCACGGGATGAATAGGGGTGGTGACATTACATATTCTTATTCCGTCACCACACGGACAATGGTCATACCTACGGTGGTCATACCTACTATAACAAAAAAAATATACAAGTTGATTTGTGAAACTCCTCCGTTTTTCGTCGTCTAATTTCTTTAAGTTTTTTATATTATTGCAAAAGGAATGTCAAGAGTTCAGATTCAAAGTATCTCACTGTCTCAACTTCAAAGAGAAGATTCCGAAGTTCTGATGACTCATTTCCAGAGCCACTGTTATCTCTACTAGCCTTAACTTAAAACAAATTTATGTCTATTGTACTTTTGGCCAGCTTGATATAGAGTGAGTCACTTTCGAATGATGTCATAAATTTAATCTTATCATAGGATTACTTCTATAGAGAGTCGGTGATAATATAGTCGCAAACAATATGAATAATTCGATTTAGTATCTAATGTATTTATAAGTGTTTATATAATAAACAATAAGTAATAATGGCTCGTGCGAAAACGAGATACGAAGTAGAATGGCAAAGGGGGTCATGGCGCAACTTTATAGGATATGGAAGGACAAAAACATCTCCTTGAAAACCAAAAGCAATCTTGTACGCACTCTGGTGTTCTCCATATTCTGGAAAGGCGCGGAGACGTGTACCCTGAATTGATGCATTCGAGATGTGATGTTGGCGAAATATGCTAGGTATTCCCTGGACTGCACATCGTACCAACGCGTCAATCCTGCAAGAACTCAAGATGCAGACAATGCTTTCTACCATCTGCCTGCGTAGAGTTCTGGAATACTTCGGCCACATTGCCAGAAAGGATGACGACAACTTTTAGAATTTAATGCTCAAAGACCACGAGGGAAAAGCCCGACACGTTGGACTGATCAGATCCGCACTACTCTCGACGGCAGATAGGGACGGATGGCGTTGAGCGATCCACAGCAAACTCTTGCTACGAGGAGGTGGTCACGACCCTCAGCATTGAGGCTTCCGAACCGAGGAGGAGTTTATAATAAACAAATATGGTACTATTAGATATAACCTATTACTTACGACGCCATCTTAGACTTTTTTTTAGGGCGGCCAAAGAGCAAACATATCACCTGATGCTGTGAATACATACATAACATAACTGACCATGTGGTGACGGTTTAAGAATACGGAATACCACTCCTATTTATCCCGTGGGTTTCGTAAGAACAGACTAAGGGAGCTAACTACGCAGGTCAACAGCACTGCAAAAAGGCAGCAAACTTGATACAAACTTTTACTGTACCTCGTCTGGTCAGCGTGGGATAGAAGGCCAAAACCTCCTTTCTTAGAAGAGGTCTATGTCCAGCAGTGGACTATTGAAGACTGTTGATGATGATGAAGTTAACATACGCATCCTTGAAACACGCTCTAGATACTAAAGCATTTGCTAGGATCACACTGGATAATGATTCATTAGACCTAACAGCCTGCTAGTTCCCACAACAAAAAAAAATGATAAGGCTTCAGAGAGTGTGATAAGATTAATGAAGATGCTTTTATTTTATGTTATTAGGATCCTAATTAGTACACGGTTCCTTTTGTTCTAAAAAACTCGCTCGAACCATTTCCTTAATCAGAGCCTTTGCCCACTTCAATTGGATGAGCTGGAGGTTATTATGTAAATATTCAACTTAAGTTAATGTTGTAAATGTAGACCATCAAGCGTCAACTTGATTGAAGCTGCGTTTGGAATCTACAGTGACTCCATGGCCGCTCTCCAAACTCTACAGAATCCCCGCTCCCTCCATCCCTTAGCGGTCACAGCTAGAAAAACTTTGAAAACAGCTTCTCTCCAGGGCAAATCAGTAAGTCTGGAGGGCAACGAAAGAGCCGACGAGTTAGCCAAAGCAGCGGCTGGGGGTTCCAAACGCAGGCCGGATTATGATCTGTGCCCGGTTTCATTCGTCAAGGGTAGCACTCGGAATGCAACCCTTGACGAATGGAACGAACGGTACAAGAGCGGAACAACGGCGTCCACCACTAAAATGTTTTTCCCTGACGTTTTTCAGCGTACAAGGTGGTCAGAAAGATCAAAGCCACCAGTGTAAAAACCCAAATTATGATAGGGTACGGCGGGTTCTCTGAGTACCTATATCGCTTCCGATGCAAGGAGAACCCGGCGTGCGCCTGTGACCCGGCGGTTGATGAAACGGTGCAACACATCCTTTTCGAGTGCCCCATACATTTAAAGGAACGGCACGATGTAGAGCACCGCTTAGAAATGAAAATGGAAGCCAAAAATATGGCAACCATTATGATGGGCAAAGATAGGGATAGGTTGATGGACTATTGTATAAAAAAAGCTAAAATAGTAAATAAAAGAAACGAAACAAGGACATAGTAAATTATGCTGATAAAATTTATGTAAAATATTATTGTAAAGCATAAACCATGTAAATTAGTTAAATAAGCAAATAGTGATTAATTATGTAAACAGTAGTTTAAGACCTTACTTTATCTCAAATCGTAGTTTAAGAATACTGTAAGTAAAAATAAGAAATGTATTTAAATATAAGAGTTAGATTAAGGCCCATAAATTGTAAGTTTATAGCTGTAAATAAAACATGTCTAAGAGTTAATGAACTAAACCCAAATTAGAAATAAGTATATAGTACAGTATCGAGAGTAGACATATACTACCAATAGGGATGACCTGGTTTTCACAGCTCATAGCGGCCATGTTTGATGATGGATCTTTGTATGGTCTTGATGGTCTTGACATTTGTGTTCAGTAAGGTTTGCCATTTTATTATGTCACGTTTCACTTTAAACCAACGCTTGGAAATTGTCCAAAATTATTACGCAAATTCGCGTTCTCCTACCGCTACAGTAAGAGCGCTTCGCTATAACTCGATGTTAACCGAATATTTCTTTCCGGAATTTGATGATATTGATGCAGACGACCTTTATTTTCAACAAGACGGTGCACCACCTCACATTACTCGAGTGAACATGGAATTATTGCGTGGAAAGTTTGGTGACTCGTTAATTTCAAGAAATGGACCGATTAGTTGGCCACCAAGATCGTGTGATTTAACACTTTTAGACTATTTTCTTTGGGGTTACGTTAAATCTAAATGTACAGCAATAATCCAAATGCAATTCGTGACCTAAAAACCAACATTCGACGAGCCATAGCCGACATACCGGCCGAAATGGTGCACCGCGTTAACGAAAATTGGCGTGAGCGAGTGACCGTCTGCAAAAAGAGCCGCGGCGGTCATTTGGCCGATATATTATTTAAGACATAAATTGCATAAAATTATCTATCAAATAAACCAATCGGATGCATTTTTCATAAAAAATTGTGTGTTTTATGCAATTTTTAAACCAGGACGTTCTTATTGGATGACCCCATAGATGGGAATCCCACCCATAGAGAATAATAGAAGGAATGAGTGATTGTATGTGTGAAAATGGTAACGCAGAATAGGAGTCTCCAATTCCGTTGGAGGATTTAGGCTGAAAAAAAAAAGAAAAACTTGATTGAAGTTCATTTATCTTGTCTTAAGCAAAATTTTGTCTTGTTACAGAAAATGGAACTACTCCACGTGATCATTAAATCCGGTCCATCACCTCGTCCTCTGGCGTGGTCTTTAGAAGTCTCGTCGTCAGAGAACGGTGAAGACTGGCGAATGATTAGAGCTTTCGGCGACAGGGATCACTGCCGGAAGCTTTGGGACTTGAGACCTGAAAGGAGAAGACGCAAGGCCAGGGCAGCAAAAAGAACCAACAGAGCTGATAAACCTGCATGTTCCACACAATTTGTTAGTCCAAGGCCATTGGAAAACGGAGAGGTAATCTTAATGTTTTTTTTTTAATTTTTGTAATCTGACTTCCACAACTAAACACTTCATATTTTAGACAGATCCATCTTCATATTTGTGGAATCCATAACTTACTTTTTCAATACCAATATGTTGTACTTTAAAGTTGTTATAATTATACCACATTTATAAGTAGGTCATTATTATGACAGTGTCGTGGGAGAGCCATGCTTCGGCGCATATGGGTCAAGCTCGACCGGAGTGATACCACGTAGCTCGAGCTAGGTGTAGCTCTTTCGCTGCTTTTCTCCGAGTAAATGAGTTTACCGTAGCCAAAACCCTACTCAGCAGGGAGCAGGGACTGAAAGTACGGCAACACGCTTGTGCCTAAAAAAATGAAATCTTTTTTTTATAGAATCATGAATATCCTGGGTATAAAGGAAAGTACTTTTTAGAGTATACTTATATATATAACATACGAGTATGTTATTGTAAATCGTTAGTCACGAATGATGATTATATCTCACGATTTTACTATCAAAACTTTTTTAAATGACTCATAACATAATAAAATAAATTATATGTCTCGTTATCGTTTCGATTGCATTTTGATCTGAAGAGATTGTGGGCTGCCCTCCGGCTTACGAGTGTACCGGCTCTATCAGTTGCACTTGAGAAAGACAATGGTCATTTATTGTATTAAAATATTCCAATTTAATTGGTTGTCTATGAACTACTTTTATCACATATCGATAGGCTATGATATTACATTAATAAATCTTGCTGATCGTGCTCATCACACAATCAGATGTCCTGGGTGGGTATCGAAGTCACGACCTCCGCCTTAACAGCTAGGGTCAATAACGACTTGACCAACAGGCTGTCAGCCGTCTGCATTATTGATTATTTTGCTATTTTTTGTATCAATTTCAGATGCACGTAGGCATAGGTGAGGGTGTGTCGGCTAGGCGCGTACGCATCTCGTTCCGTGCCCCTCACTCCAGTGCTCCTCGGCAGCAGTACTACACAGTACGCGCTCTTACGCTTGCAGCCAGGTGCCTTTGCCACGGACATGCGGAAAAGTGCGATGTGGATGCTGAGGTAAGATTTCAGAAAAAACCCTTATTAACTCTGTCAGCTAAAATGTCAGGTTCAAGGGTCTTAACAAAAAGAAAGAAAGAAGTTGCCAAATTAAATGGAAATGAAATAAAAATGTTGTTTGACTTTGCATGCCAATGTGCACCATACCCGCGCCTAATACGGCACCTTTCAGCATTTTGCCATCACATGAGCAGCATGTCACTGCTTACACGTGAACAGCGCTGGTTTTCAAAGGAAACGAAGTGAGAGGATGGTGTTTACGTCGTGTGTGTGTGTGTGTGTGTGTGTGTTTGTGTGTGTGTGTGTATGTGTCTCGTGATGTTTTAAAGAGTTGAATGTTCCAAGAAATTAGAAGTTTGGGTCATTGAGTGCAGATGAGTGTAAACGGGTGCAGCTGTTACTTTAGTTCTTCGTGATTCGTTATGTTGAAAGTTCTCACCTAGCTGCCATCCAACTTAACCAATTTAAAAGCAGGCAAAAGCTCAAATCAAAGAACTCTTTTTAACAAGTCTTCTTAGCATACTCCAACTGGAGATCTGGAGGAAGCAACCGTGTAAGTGAAAATATCATCATCTTTTGCAGGGAGCAAAGTGCTCATGTATCCACGGGACGTGCGGGAGTCACTGTCACCGTTGCTGTTCGGGGGCACCGTGGGCGCCGCACCAAGTTTGCGCGGCGGACGCCCGGCCCGACTGCGAATGCGGGGACCGGGGTGCTTGCTCCTACGATGACACAGGCGCTATACTCTGCGTTAACTGCACGGTTAGACATTACGGCTTTCATTTCTTACTTTTTTTAATTTAATTATGAATTTAATTATCTAACTGTGAACAGTTTGCTCATCATATCCTAAGGGCATGTAGTTTTGGGTATAATGAACGTAATATAATGCTGAATAGTTTACAGGTGACGTCTGGGGCGGTATACTATGGAGATCTTGTGTCAACTAGGGTGAATTTCCGTGCGTTTAGGCGATTCATACATATCAAAGAAATCAAATATAGCTCACTTAGAACCCATAATATTTAGTGGCCGTGGTTCTTCTCTGTTTAAACGGGTGTATGCCTATTTTAATTCTCTTTGTCTTTTGTTTTGCTGAGGAGCGAAGTGGATTTATTATATTTTCAACTCCTCCAATTTTCTTCTGATTAATTTCGTTGCGGATCCCAAGACATTTTAATTTTTCTTGGAACTTCCCGAGAGTCCTAACTCGGTGTGTTCGTGGGTCACTGCTGTTGATCCTGGTGTACAGGAGTTACAATGGTGGGCGTGTGTGAGGGATAAGTCCCATTAAAAAAAACATTATGAAATTATAATAGAAAGGTTTGATGGCGAGAGCCGTGCTTTTAATCCAAGCCCGTCCCCCACCCCTCCTTCTAGAGAGCGGACAAAGCAAAAGGCTGCGACGCTTTTGAATTAAGGTACTCATGGGCAGCGGTAGTCACTTACCATCACATCATAAAAAAATCCAAGTTTCTTCAGTAATATGTTTCTTCGTTTTCCAGGAGAACCGAGCTGGTCCTCTATGTGACAAGTGTTTATTTGGATATTACAACAGCCTACCTGACGGACCCTGTCTGCCTTGTGACTGCGATCCTCAAGGCTCTGATGGTAGGTTTACTATATTTATACTTTTACATTACAAATTACAGGAATTAAAACAATGTGCAAAAAGAAAATAGTGTGATTTACACTTTCTGAACAGCGCCATCTAGTGCGCTTATGCTTTATTTGATCACTATCTTTCTGAATTATTCCCAATTTTATTATGAATAAGCTCAATGTGGAAGTTACACAAGGTGTTGGTTGGTTTCCTTTACTGGTAACCACGCCAACTTTCTAAAATTTAATTTTAATTATAGTTGGAAATCTTCCCAATGGAAATATAATTTATACATAAGTAATTGTCTATTACGCGGGCGCGGTGGTAGGATAAGAATGGGGGTCAGAAGGGGTGCGGGATATGAACGTGTGCCCCTCTGCCCTGTAGGCGTAGACGCATTTAAGCGGTTTATCTTTAAATAAAATTTAAAAATACGTGCAAAAAATAGCGTATACAAGCATTTTATGCGCCTTCTAGAACCTCTGTCACGAATTAGGCCTAGACAGCTCTTCGCGACTCGTCCCAGAATCTTATTACTATCGTTAAATAACCTTTTTGTAAATTTCCAGGATCTTGCGTATGGAACAGAAAGTACCACCAGACAGTTTGCACCTGTTTCCCTGGATTTACTGGACACTTGTGTGACGTCTGCGAGGATCCTGACGCCGTGTATCCGAACTGCCAGATCGTCACCCCTCCCACCTGCAAGTGTGATCCAAGGGGAATTGTTGACTCAACCAAGGTCTGCGATGAAGTTTGCGAATGCAAGGTGGGCATTACTTTATGAAAAGCTATTAATATTCAGTTTTAATTAAATTACTCTTTCCTTTATTTGAAAGTAACTCTTATAACACGACTGTCTATAAGGGGAATGTAGGCCATTTGTTATTATGTTACCATTACTTGTAACGTAACGTAACGTAACGGTTTAATCCTTACATTATACCTGAAAGTCAATTCTCCTAATAATAATTCGGTTCCAGTGTACTCTTAATCTCACAAGTGTTATAATATATTATAATATTATATTATTATTATATTATTTATTACTACAAAAATACCTTTTATGATATTTGTGAGTTCGAGAATTGATCGGAACTAAATTTTGAACGGATTTTTATAACCTAAATTAACCTTCTAGAAGAGCCACGCTTCACCATACAATTCGATACCATAGCATCATACAAAATCGGTATATAGTAATTCTTTCAGCTAGTGAGGTTACTGTATATACTTTTTGTGATTTCCGTGTAACGTATTGTCTAACTGCGTCTCACTGATTTCTCAGGCAAACGTTGTGGGCGAACGTTGTGACGCATGCGCTCCCGGTCACTACGGGCTGAGTGAACATCTACCTGCTGGCTGCAGACCCTGCTACTGCTCACACATCACTGACTCCTGTACCCTAGCCACTGCTGATGAACAGGAACCTTCTAGAGATGTATGAATTTTTTGTTCGTTTTGATGTGAAGAAACACATAATAATGTCTATTTGCGCATATAATACTCATAATCTTTCTTTATTCTAGATAATATTGCCGTTAGGAGAAACTTGGCTGATCACCGATTCTCAAGCCAATGAGACGTTGGAGCCCTCTATCGATGAGCAAGGACAACCTTTCGTTATTAGTTACGAGGTAAGACTTTAAAGAATAACCAAAAAAAATATAATTATGCTCTTATAGACGAGCAGCAAACTTGCTGATGTTTAAATATCACTGCACTGGAAGAAGTTTGTGGTGTAAAAGTTCGTGTGTATATGATTTAACGTTTTTTCAGTCCAGTGGGTTGTGCTTTTCCAACCATTTATCAAGTTGACACTTAAAACTGTTCACTGATTCGCGGTCACTACACTTTCTGGAAGCTCGTTCCATATTATAACAACACTATTGTTCATAAAATGAAACCAAATACCCGACTGATAAAATATTAAGTTATATATTCGAATTTGCACTTCAAATATCGGAATGTACAGTACAGGCGAATATAGTGTATGTGGGATGTAGGATTAGTAGTTACTCTGTAGTTTGCTTTGTTTTCATTAGATGGCGTTAAAATATATTTTTTGTTATGAGTGGGTGTGGAAGCCGCTAAATTCTCATCCATTATTTTCAGATATTTGTTAAGAAACAGCTTCAAAAGGAACGGTCTCAGCCATTCTTATTTAAATAAATCTTTGACCATATTAACTTAATGTACGTTTTTTTTATTAAGTAATTTCCACTACAACTTTTTGCCATGTGTTCTAGGTAGAAGGATGGGAGTATTTCTACTGGATATCGAACTCATTCTCCGGGGAACAGCTGTCAGCGTATGGTGGCGAAGTCCAAGCGTCGCTGTACTGGGGCATCGTGAGAGGGGATACAGGCGATAATCCCACTTACGGACCTGATGTTATTCTTATTGGAGGTGGTGAGTATGGTAGGATTGCCATGAACTTAGATAAACTACTGATTTTTTGAAAGAAGATGGGAGACTAGTCTTTGTGTGTTTGTAAGTTTAGTGGTCCATACATCAGTGGACTTCATGGATTCATATGATGATGAAGTCTGTGGAAGAACGGTTATCTTATTTTGAAATCAAGAGAGTGTTCTGCAGTCCAGATGATCGTGAGAACTGATATTTTCAGTAGTTAGTAGTTGAGTTTAAATTTGCTAGAGGGCGTTAATATATTTAAAATTATTCTTTTCTTTATAGATGGTACAAAACTCGCCTACTCAAACACGAGCCACGAGACTCCTGGACAACTACAGATCTCAGTGCCATTGGTGGAAGGGAGCTGGTTAGTCATGGGAGAGGAACCGGAGCTGGCCAGCAGGATACAGCTGATGGACGTGCTCAGAGACGTGAAGGGCATCATGTTGAAGGCTCATTACCATTTTGATCAAGATGAGGTACGCTAAACATTGTGTCTTTTTTATAGTTGTTTGTAGGTATACAGTAGGTCATTATTAGACGTCATTAATATGATATGAATACAATAATATCATATAAAATGTATGAATGATATAACATAAAATATACATACTGCATAGATTAACGAAGCTAATAGCTAACTGCTGGACATAGGCCTCTCCTTTCTAAGGAGAGGCCTATGTCCAGCGCGGAAGCGGAAGTTTTCTCGTCACGTCGATAAAAATATTCTTTAAAACAGTGTTATCAAGACCGAAACTAAACACTGGAACACAGATAAGTTATTTAATCATTGTAAAAAACACACATATTATAATAATTATTATTAATAGAAAAAATTGTGTAATGCAAATACGCATTAGATTGATGAGCGGTCATGGAACCCGCGACCTCGGTTCTTGAAGTTAAATTAACTATCGCTGGCAATTTATGGAAATATAAACCGTGTAAATATACATATATTTTTTATTTTATAATTGTTTTATCAGTAGTAAGTGGTCATAGTCGAAAACTCATAGTAAATCATAAATATAGCATTATTATAATAAGTAATGCAAAAAGATACCGGTTCGTGGCGTAGTTTGGGGCTTTTACGTTTAATTACACATCTCACAATCACACACAAGTTAAATAAAAGACTGAATATTTTATTTTAAATCTTGCAACCGCCTTAGTACGAGGCAAAAGACACTACCGTATTTCTAGGTATGGTAAAAGCCGTTAATCCCGAAGGTCCTGATCAGGATAATGGGACAAACTATTTAAATTATTGCATTGTCATCGGTCCTTGATAAGTGTGCAAAGTTTTAAATTTAATTCGTTGTTTTCAAGTGGGTCAAAAACACGTTCAAAAATTTCGTTACACACATACATATCTAGTCGTAGCTAATAAATGCGTGTTAATAAATAAAATGTAACTTTAAAACTAAATGCTTTAATAGTAATAAAACCAAATATTAGAATTACTATCCTTATAGGAAGCTTGTCTATAAAATTGTTTTAAAACGGACAATTATTATAAATCAGTTTAACTGAATGAACTAAGTTGAACACTAGTTAATTTAGAAGCTGTTTGGTGTAGGTACGGCTCGAAGGCGTGTCCGTGCACGGCCCCACCGAGGTGGTGGGCGAGCGCTGCGCGTGCCCGCGCGGCTACACGGGCGCGCACTGCTCGCGCTGCGCCTGGACACACGTGCGCGCGCACCGCGCCCGCGTCGAGTGCGTGCCCTGCGCCTGCAACGGACACGCGCGCTGCGATATTGGTCAGTGCAGCTTTATATACTTAGAAAACTTTGTATGAAAAAGATTCTTATTTACACTCATTTCCGTTGCTTTTTTATAACAAACTATTATAAAAATCTTAATCTATTTTTTTTTCAATTTAGTTTACAATACATACGTCCAAGACAAAAGTAATTCGTAGAAGGCAATTGGCATGATTTGCCAACATAAGATTTTGAAATATAAAAATACAATTTCACCTCAAGATTGCTATTAATTTTTTCCTGTTCACAGTGGATGGACCGTGCGGTCCCTGCCAGCACAACACTACAGGCCCACACTGCGAGCGATGTCTTCCTGGACACTACGGCAACCCAGTTCAGGTAAAGCGTTTATTATTAACTTGTGAATAGTTACATAATAACGGAGTAATCTCTTTATTATGGAAGAGGAGACAAACAAGCCGATAGATCACCCGATGGTTAGCGACTGGTGGTTAGCGCCGCCCATGGATCAATTTTAGCCCCGCGCCCCACACCTCCGGATTCTTCTTCACTCAGTCAAAAAAAACAAAAAAAAATGCTTAAAACCGGTTTTAGGTGAGGCCGCAGTATAACTCCGGTCGAGCCTTTCAATTTCGGCCGAATCGTGACTCCTCTACAATTTTTTTTTTAATAATTACTAGTTTTTTTTTGTAACCTTACCAAGAGGGTGAATCTTGTTTATAATGGAGTTTGACGTTGGTCATACGGTGGCTTATGTCCTTTGGCTTATGGCTTATGACAATTAACCTTACTATATCTAATAGGTCTTTACCTATGAAATTGCCGTTTTGTATGCAATAAGTGAAAGTACTTATTTTTTCAAACTTTTTTATTTCTGTTATTCGAAGTAATCACCCATGCAATCGACGCATCTTTGCCAACGCATTGGCAGTTTATTGATGCCCTTCTTGTAAAAATCTGCTGGACGGGAGGCAACAAACTCTTCAAAGGCATTTTGTACTGCCTCTCGGGAATTGAATTTTTACCCACTAAAAAGTTGTCTAAATTTTGGAAAAAGTACCTAATAGTCGGTAGGTGCAAGGTCTAATATAAAAGAAGAAACTGACACTGATAGACTAATTCACTGACTGATCGATCAACGCACAGCTGAAACCACTGGGTCTAGAAGCATGAAATTAACACAAATGTTCCTAAGGTGACGTAGGGGTGAGAAAGGATTTCTTAAAAATTCCACCTCTAACCGTGAAAAATGGGGGTTGTAAATTATTATATATAACTTCGTTATTTTTGGTAGTAGCGTTATTAAACTTACAGTACTCTTTATTAAAAAAATGTACCCGTAAAAAAATTGTATGGAATACTATTTTTTTTTACTTTTCCATTCCAATTCAATTACTACGATTTCTGATATCGAGCACAAAAATTAGTATAGATATAATTTCAGCAGCCCTTTGACTGCTTCGGTGGCGCAGTAGTAGCGTAAGCGACTGCTCTATTGATGTCTCAGATTAGATTCCCCGGTCGGACCAAATGTTTGTATGATCTGTAAATATTTGTTTCGGAGTTTGGGTGTTTTCTATGTAAAATGCATTTACAAACAAAAGAATTAAGTATTCTATTAGTTAATCTAGCTCTCATAGTACAAGCTCTGCTTAGTTTGAAACTAGATGGCGTTGTGTGTCAGATGTCCGAATTAATCAATTAATTATTTTTATGTTAATAGTTATCTCTTGTTCCAGGGAGCTTGCAAACCTTGCGCGTGTCCTCTGTACGAAGCGGGCAATAATTTCAGTCCAAACTGTGCCTTAGCCAGCGCCGAAGGAGACGAGTACGTGTGCACCCAGTGTCCTGATGGGTATACCGGGGATCATTGCGAGAAGTGAGTGATTAGTTTAAATAATTTGACTGCTTTTTGTAGTTAATTCTTCAGTCCTTTCATTTATTTATTAGTGTCCACACTTACTACTATCATTACAGGTATATCCTAATGCGATAGTGTCACTATTACAAAGATACTTGTTTTACACTTCTAAGTATGTGTTTTGTAACATATTATATATAAAGCTGTCTTTGTGAACTCACTCAGTGTACAGCTAAATAAGTCAATATCTATGGCGAGGTTCAGGGTGCGCAACTCAGCACCAGGGACTTCCTTTCAAGGGTAGACCTGGTTCCAGGGCTATTAGTACCCGAGACGGCGTGCGGTTTTAGTCGGTTCGAGTCCGACATGCCACCGATAGGTGGTATCCGACGGGATTTCCGCACGGAAAAAAAAAGGTGCGCAACGCACGCGTTAAAGGCGCTTCGCTTTGCCAATTTGTGCGTCCGCGCGGCACCGCCAAGAATAGCGGACGGCGTCGCCGCCATACATACCCGTCCGGTACACACATGCCTACCAATCCTAATATATTGCTGTCGTGGATTTTCCCCTTAGTATATTAAGTATATAGGTGGCATGACTAAGGTCCCTTCTGACTCTAAACTCGTTTCATCTCAAAAGTGGTACAACTCAAGTCAAAACCAAAGATATATCCAAACATTAAGCGTCAAAAAAGAAATGTTCAAACACCGCCTCTACAGAAATTTACAGTACTGCAGTATTTGACTGCAGTAGGTAGCGCTAAGAACCCGGACTTGCGTGATGACAACAAAATTTCGATATTCACGAGCTGCTGTTTCCTTTTCTTCGGTACGTCTGGCAGGCTGAGATCCAACGATTTTTGTTGGGATATGGTATATACATATAAGTGTTGAGCTTTCCGTGTGGTGACGAATTAAGAATACGTAATGTTACCACCCCTATTCATCCCGTGAGTGTCGTAAAAGTCGCCTAAGGGAGAAAACTACGCTAAACAGCACTGCAAAGAGAAGGAAAACTTGAAACAAACCCTTTTTTTTTTTTTTTAACGTGTGGAAATCCCCTCGGACCGTCACCCCTCCGGGGTTTGCGGCGGGGTGGTGTGTCGGGCTCGGACCTACTAAAACCACACGGTGTGCCACTCTGCGCATGTAACAGGAGGGATCCGGGAACAGCTGTTGTTAAGACATCCGGACCCCTCCTAGCGCCAGCCCGCTCCTGGTGCGGGCTCCGTCTCAATGGTGTTCCTCTCTTTAGGCGACGTCCGGCACACGCGGACGCCGCCCCCTCGCGGCTGGCCAAACAAATGCGGGTGGAGGGGAAACCCACCCCTTCCACCCGCGGCCACACTCAGGGCGGCATGAGGCTGTGGTAGGCGGGCCTCCGCCGCCCGGTTCGCCGGCGGCGGATCGGGTCCGAGTGGAGGTCGTCCTCCCGGGCCCTCTCCGCCGCCTCCTTCCGCGAGATTACTACCTCGCAGAAGGTTGCGACCGCGGTAAAACAACTGTCGCTACCGGCCATGGAGCGTACTACGGCCGGTAGCGAGAGATCCACTCCGATGACTGCAGTGAGGGCCCGGCGCTCATGCAGGGCAGACCGCCAGCGTGTGCTGGGCCGAGTCCTCACTGCAGTCGCAGTGGTGGCAGGCGGGACTCAGTTCCCTCCTAGCGACCGTGTGCAGGTACTTTCCGAAGCAACCGTGCCCGGAAAGCACCTGCGTCAGTCGGAAGGAAAGGGTCCCGTGCTGCCGCCCTGCCCACTCGGCGATGACCGGCTGGAGAGCCTCCACGGCGGCGAAGCCAGCGCGTGGAGTCTCCAGCCGGAACGACCAACGAGCCATCGTTGCTCGGCGAGCGGCTTCGCGCCACTCGCGCACATCCTCGGGCGGAGGGCGAAATCCGCTCTCCGCCCGGGAGTCAGCCACTCGCCGATAAACTTCGGCGAGCACTTCCGCCTCCAAATCCCACGGGGGAGTTCCGGCCAACGCGCATGCCACCTCCGTAGAAACGGTGCGGTAACCGCGTATGGCTCTGACCGCCATTACCCTCTGAGGGCGCCAGAGGCGTACCCTATTCTGGGCGGTCAGAGCCGCCGCCCACACCGGTGTACCGTACAGCGCCATTGACCGGACAACCCCCGTGTACAGCCGTCTTGTCGCGACGCTGGGTCCACCCATATTGGGCAAAAGTCGCCCTAGGGCAGACGCAGCGCCGACCAGCTTTGGAGCAAGCTGTCGGAAGTGCTCGTCGAAGAGCCACCTCCCGTCGAGGATCAGGCCCAGATATTTCATCTGGGCCCGAACCGGTACGAGGACCGAGTTGACCACGATGGAGGCGCCAGGGGGTGGACCACGACGGGGCCCATGAAATAACAGGGCCTCCGTCTTATCTAGGGCCACCCGTAAGCCCAGCGCCTCAATGCGCCCGACCACCAGGGAGACTCCCCCTGTGGCCAGGCGCGCCGCCTCTTGGAAGTTTGCCCCCCGGGCTGTCACGAGGGTATCGTCTGCGTAACAGATTACACCCAGCCCGGGGGGGAAACCGGCGCGAAGGGCCCAGTCGTACCCTATGTTCCACAAGAGGGGTCCAAGAACAGACCCCTGTGGAACACCGCACGACATGGGCCGACTCCTCAAATTACCTTCTCGGTCCTCGTACACGACGGTACGCTCCTCTAAATAGTCTGCCACCAGCCGCCTCAGGTACTTTGGCACCCCATGATAGTGGAGTGCTTCCCTGATGCAGCTGAATGGCAGACTATTGAATGCGTTGGCGATGTCCAATGACACCGCCAACAGCACGCCGCCACAGCTCACGGCCTCTTCGGTCACGGCCCTCAGGCGCAACACAGCGTCGACTGTCGAACGCCCCGCCCGAAAACCAAATTGGGCGTCCGACAGATCGGGGCCCACCTCGCAGAGGTGCCGGACGATGCGGGCAGAAAGAACCCTCTCAAACAATTTGCCCGCCTCGTCCAGCAGCACGATGGGCCTATAGGCCGCGACCGAATCGGCAGGCCGTCCCGGCTTCCTCAATAGGACCAGCTTCCCGCTCTTCCAGCACTCAGGGAAGCGTCCCGACGCCAAGCTAGCGTCGAACATCTCCCCGAGGCGGTCTGCCAAGTGGTTGAGGGCCAGGGCCAGCACTCGGGCCGGTACCCCGTCTGGCCCAGGGGCGGTGTTCTTGGAACGGATCCGTAGAACAGCCGCCCCTACCTCCGAATCCCGGACGGGCGGAACATTTTCCTCCCCGTGCTCCCCGTCGTCTCCGGCCAAGGAGGCCATCGCCGGGGGAGTGTGTTCCGCTCGTTGCGGGAAAAGGCCCTCAACCACTTCTCGCAGGAAGCTGGGCTGGAGAGTCTCCGTAAGGGGGGGGGCCGACGCGCGGAGCTTTTGTCGCACCGCGGTCGCCACCGGTAAGGGCGACCCCAGGGGTCACGATTAAGACCCTCCAGCATCTCCTGTCTTTTTTCTTCTTTGGCGCGGCTAATGGCCAGCTTCAGAGTTTTCCGCGCCCGTCGGTACTCCTCATGAAGCCGGTCCTCCTCACCGTCTCCACGGTGACGCCGCCGACTGCGCGTGTAGGACCTCCGGGCACGTGTACAGGCCGCACGGAGGTCCGCCAGCTCCTGGGACCACCAGTAGACCTCCTTCCTTGGAGGCCGACGACCTCGAACGCTTGGCATGGCCGCATCGCATACATGCGTAATCGCATCGCGAAAGCGGCCAGCCCCCACGTCGACCTCCTCGGTCGGAGCCTGAGGAGACAGCCACGAGTGAATTATGGCTGCCTCCTCTAGTAGGTCCCGGTTCAGCCTGGCAACAGCCCACCGCGGAAAGCGGGATAAACGCCGCGCCACGTGACCCCTACTGGAGTCCTGGGTCCGGGAGAGCTCAAATCGGATATACAGGTGATCCGAGAGCGTCTCAACCTCTTCCAGGACACACCAGTTCCTTACTCGTGCGGCGAGGGCAGGGGTAGCGAACGAAAGGTCCACTATCGACCCTCCCTGCTGTCGCACGCACGTGTTGGTGGAGCCTCTGTTTAGAAGACAGAGGCCCACCGAGGCCGCCCACTCCTCTACGGCCTCGCCCCTGGCGTCCGTCCTGGGGGAACCCCACGCAATGGACTTTGCGTTGAAGTCCCCCAGCACAAGGACGTGCCCAGACGCTAGTCGCCGTATCGAGGTCTCCAAGCTGGTTAGGAAAACCTCGAAGTCGTTCAAACTCCGGTTGGGGGAGAAATAGACACCATATATGGTGATCCCCCCCCACTCGACGGCAACATATCCAGTGTCCTTGTCTCTTAGCGACAAGGGCGGGGAATGAGCCGTCGTGGAACCGACGACTGCCACGGAGCCGTCCCAGTCACCCATCCAGTTTGGACGGGGAGGGACAGAATAGGGCTCCGCGACTACGGCAACACCTATCGACCACTGTGCCATGGTTTGCAGGAAGAGATCCTGCGCCGCGGCACAGTGGTTCAGGTTCGTCTGGACCAGGAGGTTGGAGACTTGATCCATTACTGGATCGTCTCTACAACCTCCTCCATGGGCGACGACGTCGACGCACGAACTACATCGGAGGCAGCCTGGGTCGACTGGCTAACCCCCGACGTCTGCCGAGAACTGCGGGGAGGCTTGCAGCCTCTCTGCCCCATCTGGTGATTGGCGGGCTTATTGCCCGCCGCACACACTGGGCAGTGAGGGGCGGCAGAGCATTCTGCCGCCTTATGCCCCGGTTGACCGCAGCGGAAACACAGTCCGCCGCAGTCAAAACAACTGTCGCACTTGACGCGCGTGTGTCCCGATGCTAGGCATTTGTAGCATCTCATCGGTCTCGCCGCCAGGACTGTGATCCTGGCGCTCACGAAACCGATGAGCAGCCTGCCGGCGTCGGCCAATACTTTGGCCGACGCTACGGGACAGCTGACCCACACGGCGCCAAGCCCTCCTGGACCGGGGCGGATGGTGCCGACCCTGACGTTGTCCGCGCTGCACCCCGTCTTCTCCCGGATTACAGCGCGGACATCTTCGGCCGTCACAGAGTCGTCCAGGCCCGAGATGCGCAGCTCTGCGCACTTAGTAGGCCTGGCGATCTTTACACCATCCGTGGCTGTAAAGAGTCCCCGCAGCTTCTCGGCAAATGTGTCCGCCGTCTTAGCGCCTTCAGCCCCAGGGAACTCGAGGACTCGAGCTCCCGTCTGGGCGAGGCGCATTCTGACCCCCACCGTTCCAAAATCGTTGGCGAGGCTGTCCCGGGCCTTTTTGAAGACGGCCGCGTAGGACAGCCCGCCGTCCGCCGCCTCCGGGGACACGGTCACCACTACAGCCGCGGTTTTGGGCGGCTGCAGCTTCCGCGGTCTCTTTGTGGAGGCCGTTGCCACCGGTGGCGAAGGCTGGGCTTGGGCTGCTTTTTTGGCAGCCTTTTTGGCCCGCCTTCGGGACTTCTTGGAGCCCCTCGCCTCCTGCCAACCCTCGTTGGAGGGGGCAGGTGCGGAGGGGCCCGGCAGGGGTGTCGGAGTGGGGAGCGGAGGGAATGCCACTCCGCTCCTCGGCGCCGTTTTAGGCCCCGTCTTGGCCGGCGCCTGGGGATGTGCCTTGGCCGGCGCCTTAGCCGGTGCCTTGGCCGGCGCCTTAGCCGGTGCCTTGGCCGGCGCCTGGGCCAGTGCCTTGGCCCCCCTCCTCGGCTTTTGGGGAGCCGATGGAGTCGGGGCAGACGCCGCCGCCGCGTAGGAGACGCGGCCTCCCACTACGGGGAGCGCGGTCGGAGCGGCGGCCTTAGGCCGCTGTGTCGACGCGAGCGGGGGGCGCACAACCGGCGCAGGGGGCAGTCTCGCCTCCAGGCCAGCCAGGCGTCCGTCCAGCATATTCCCAACTGCGATGAGGATTTCTCGCAGTTGGGAGTCAAATGCCCCTGAGTTGGTAGTAGGGGCAGGCTGGGACGCGGACGGGGCTTCCCGCTCGGGGAGGTTCGCCTGGAAGCGGGCGAACTGAGCGCTCAGCTCGTTCACCCGCTCCGTCAGCCTCTCGTTGGCCACCTGCAGGCGAGACACATCGCCCACTAGGCTCTCCACGACCTCCGACAAGGCGGAGGAGGAGTCCTTAAGGGCCCTCACAAACGAGCCCTTAAGGTTCACGGACTTGGTGGCCACCTTGTCGATGACGGCCACCGCCGCTTTCGCCCTCTCCTGCACGGACACGGGAGTCTGGGGGGCATTTCCCCCCACCGGCTCCCGAACCTTGAGCAGGAGATCCGCGATCTCCTCCTCCGCTACGGCCTCGCCGTCCACCCGTACGCTTCTGTAGGACTCCGCGTTTGAGAACGCGGAGCCTGACGGGGTCGAAACCGAGGCCGGTTTGCGTGCCCTCCCTCGACGGCTGCTTGCCACTTTTGGTGGCATCATTTCGCCGGACGTGTCGGTCCCCTCCTCCCTGGAGCGTCCGCGTTTCCGGCTGTCGCTTCGCTCCGCTTCCATGGCCTCCGCGCCATCCGAGGAGACGGCGGATCCGGAACGAATACGATCCGATGCTCTTCGGCTCCCAGAGACCAGAGTCAGACTGACTTCTGGGAGCCCCATCGAGATAGGCGTCCCCGACGCCACCTCACCCTCAGTGGACGACCCATCCGCTCCACTGTTCTGTTTCTCCTTCCTTCGGTTTGCTTCCTTTTCCGTTAGGCTTGCCTGTTTTCGTTGTGTTTGTCCGATCGTTTTCTTTAGGTTTTTGGTAATGTTTTCCATGATAAATCCCACGAGTGGGGGAGAACTAAAGGTCCACCCGGGCAGAGATCCCCCATTACCCGGGCAAGCGTAAGTTTTTAACCCAACCGAGGGGTCCGCAGGTACCTCGGCTTGGAGTGCGCTCGCGACTGAACTTCCCATCAGCCATGCATCCCCTGGCCACGCACCAGAACACGGGATTCGGGGAATTTTTTAGAGAGGTTATCTTCCTCGCGGTCCGGGCGGTTAAGCCAAGACCCTCGTCCCCAATCAGAGCCGCGAGACTTAACCACAGCGCTCTTCTCGGGATTACGATATGCCGACGGTTGACAGGGAGACTACGTCCCCCTGCCTGCTCGGTGGTAGTGTGAGTACACGCCGAGCCCGTCCTCCTTTCTCCACCGCTATCAGCGGAGAAAACTGTGGCCCCTACAGGGCCCCGCCATCAGGTTTTTTACCGAGGTTTCCTCCTCCATGCTCCGAAGAGCGAAGAGCCAGCAGGGCAACCGGCAGACACGCCCACCCTGCTGGACCAGGCCTTGCCCGAGAGCCGATGAACGGCTGCCTCTTCTGCTAGAATATTGGCCGCTGGCGATAATCCTCTCCTCCAAGAGGACAAGGAGGAAACAGTACCATCGCCAGCGTTTCCAGGGTGCACCACGGGGAGGTTTTCTAGCTAGCACCCCTAAACCCTATACCAACCCGTCTGGCCAGCGTGGTATAGTAGGCCAAAACCTCCTTTCAGGGGAGAGTCCTATGTCCAGCAGTGGACTATTATAGGCTGTTGATGATGATGATGATGATGCATAAGTATACTGAACATACCTTTTTTTCATTGTGCGATGCACCATTCTTTGAGATCTGTATCAGTTTATCAATCCGTTGTTATGTGGGCAACAGCTGCGACTTCGGGTACTGGGGCTCGCCCACGACAGCGGGCAGCTCGTGCCAGGAGTGCGCGTGCGGCGGCTCGCCGTGCCACCCCACGTCGGGGCTGTGCCTCACGTGCCCGCCGCACACCGAGGGCGCGCGCTGTGACCTCTGCAAGGTATACAACATTTAATGTTACACTAATATGTTACCGAAAGTTTTCTCTCATTCTAGGGCTAGTAGAATCTCTGTGAATAAAGGCCTAACATTTTTTTCAAGTTTCAAGTGATTTTTATTACACTAGTATTTTTCGATCAATATTTTTTTTGAAGTAGAAACTTCTTTAGGCGAGCTGGGCATTTTTGAACAACAAACAAAAGAATGCATTTTATAAAAAAAAAAACCATCGAACTTGCGACACTTTACCGTTACCGACATGTCTGTAGAAGTGAGAACCTCTTTATTTTTGAGATGGGAAACTCTTCTTCTATCGGCACTCCCCTAGTGCCACTGTTTTTTTTTTCACTATTTTTAGGCTATGCAGTCAATATGTTGCAATATACGTAATGAAATTCCGTTACAAAAAGGTAACATTATAACTTTCTCTAAGTATTAGTAGACCCCGTTCATACGTTATATGAAAGAGGTAATACCTCTTTCATATAACATGAAATAAAAGAAAAAAAAGAGAAGTCGCTTCACTCTGCATTCTCTATCGCCTGTATCACGGAGAGTGCTTCGATGGTGCATGCTTTTCGCCTTTTAGCTGACCATGCTTACATGCAAATGAAATGAATAAAAAACAATATATTTTGATATCTAATTTATCAGGTATCCGATTAGCCTATTAACTCTTTCTTTCTTTCTTTCTGTAATTAGAATCCGTACACCGATAAATAATACGCTTTTCTAAATAAAATTATTTTTTTAATTTAAGAAAAGAAATGTTGAGTTGTAATGGTGAGTATGTTTACACTTAGGAGGGCTATTGGCGCGCGGGGTCGGGCGGCGCATGCGCGGCATGCGCGTGCGGCGCGGGTGCGCTGTCCGGCGCGTGCGACGCGCGCTCGGGGCAGTGCGCCTGCCGCCCCGGCTGGGCCGGCCGCGCCTGCGACTCTTGTGCCCCGAGACATGGCGGTACGGTTACACTTTATTATTCAGTTTCCAGCCCTTGATAAAAATTACAATTGACTTAGAAAAATACCACCAACTACAGTGCGATCTGAGCGAGCGAATGAAAGTGTATTTTTCTTCACCTCACAATCTTAGAGGTAAAATATGTGTTTCAACATGAAAAGAAAAGCCTTAAATACCACAGATACAATTAAAAACAGAATTATTAAAAATGTTTCAGTCGTAAATATCTCTTATAACACACACGCAAAAAAGGATTCAATTGAAAAACTCTTTCTTTTAGAAGTCGGTTAATAATAATCCTCTTCTATCAGGTTTGTCTGCTGGGTGTCCATCATGTCGGTGCGGCACAGCGGCTATCAATGATACGTGTGACCCGATCACGGGGGAGTGCGCGTGCGCATCTGGCGCAGCACCGCCATCTTGCGACACGTGCCTCGACGAGCATTACGGGCTTAACACTACCGGCTGCTTAGGTAAGTCTTTTAATAGTTCAACTTTGTGCTCATAGATGTCGTTAGTGTATTTTGTATAACATGTTTTGTATTTATTTATTTTGTTGTAATAATTCTTTGAATTTCAGCTTTGTCTTATTTTAATGGAAAAATAGTTAAACACGTCTTATTTGCAACACAATATAAATTATTATTAATATTTCATACTAAAAAGGATTATACGATACCCTAAGATCTCAGCTGTGAAACCGGTTCGTTAATTATAAAATAACTTACCCGTGATATATTTGGTACAACACGGCCCACTCCCTCTAATTAACAGCCCTAGGGTCAGAACTCATTAAAACGTTTTGTGTATATGTTGGTGTTTAATTGGTTGGTCTTGTTTATTAACAACGTAATTTATAGAATGCCCTTTTCGTCCTTTTAAATTAAGTTTCTTTAACTACATATAGTTACTCAGATATTCTTTATAACTATTTTATAATTTCTAAAAGTTTGCATCGTCTACAGAAGTCAGATTAAATCGTGAAAAAAAAAAAACAACAATGTAAAGTGTATAAATTGCTTATAGAAAAATATGTATTGAAAAAAACTTTTACCATCACTGACTTCATGTTAAATGTAGTTCATCTTATATATAAAAATCTCGCGTCACAATGTTCGTTCCCGTACTCCTCCGAAACGGCTTGACCGATTCTCATGAAATTTTGTGTGCACATCGGATAGGTCTGAGAATCGGCCAACATCTATTTTTCATACCCCTAAAAGGTAAGGTAAATGGAGAGGCCTATGTCCAGCAGTGGACTATTAAAGGCTGATGATGTGATGATGTGTGATGTGAAATGGTAAGGGTGACCCATCCCTTATTTTTTTTTGTTTTGCAATACAACGTTTGCCGGGTAAGCTAGTACATTATAAAATAATATGTAAATAGCTTTAAACAATAATTAAATAAGTTGAAAACGTATTGATTAAGGTTTGACGGCTGATTATACTTTTTAATTATTAATATTTGTATGCTCTTCGCGGGCTCCTATTTCTACAAAATACTAGTAATGAGAAAATTAGTAAGCAATAAACTCATTAAGAAATTAAAAAAAAAACGGAATATATCCTAAAAACATAGTTTCTTTTATTTTTACAGAAAATCGTAATTAAGTCTTATTTTATTACTCCCAATTATTTGCTATGTATGTCGTCATGAACGCATATCATAGTTTTGTTCAATTTAAATAAATAAATGTATATTTATTTAAATTGAACAAAACTTTTGCAAGTCAAATGCTGGTGACTATTTTACAAATAACACCACTACTTTTAATATAACGACTTCAGGGCTTAAACATTCAACTTTCTAATAAACAATGAACTTTTATCATAACATGAACGTGAAGGATGTTTACACAGCGCATAGCGGAGGGCCGGGCACGCACTTACACCGTTACCTAAGGCTAGTAACAGACTTTATACCTAAACTTGTACACGTCCGCGCACTGCAATTTTGCGTAATTTGAAAACAGCTCCATACGTGCCCTAAGAACAGTGGCTCTCAACATTGCAAGTGCATAGTTGAAAACCAGTCACAGTAAGATAAAGTTTATTTTCACAAGAGAATATCAAAAACGTAGTTGTTAAGACAATTTAATATAAGGGTTTTTCGTTTCCATGTAAGTAAGTACATAAATTTCGTTTTTGGAACGAAGTTTCTTATCGCAGTTTACATGTGGGAGCGAGACTATGGCTTTTTCCGGCACTATGATAAACGTCTACTAAAAAGCGAAAGGAACTTCGTTCAGACCGGGGGTCCATGGACCCCTCACGCCGTTTCTAATCTAATTTATTTCCTTCGTATATCTGGATAAATCGGATATCTGTCACGAACAAAAAAGCTCTGTTTTTACATGAAAGAAAACTATGATTTTTGGTGATTTACAGTATTATATTGTTCAGAAAAATTCTAGCTTAGTGTTAGAAACAATTTATTACGATGAAGTTGAAACCATCATATAAAAATATTGTAAAAAAAGTTTGAGAACCACATTCAGGACCTACCGCGTCGACACCACCTCCTCGAGCTATTCACTGATTGCTGCGCATACATTGAAGATTTTCCTTCCAGCTTTTACTTCGTAAACATTACCTAACATCAATGTACATAAAACAATGTGTAATGTACTCTGTGAAATGTATCACGACATGCTAAGTAAACCGGTGGTGTTTTGATTGATGGAAATTATTGGGTGCAGTGTTTTACTTTCGAGCATGTGGGTACGATAGTTTTATGAACTTCAAAGGGACGAATTGTAACTTATATAATGTGACTACAGTTATAAATGCGAAGTATAGATGAAAGTTGACTGGCCTAGTGGTTAGGGACCCTGACTGCTATGCCGGAGGTCGTGGGTTCGATTCTCACCCAGGACAAATAGTTGTGTGATGAGCACGGTCATTTGTTCTGTGTCTGGGTGTACTTTATAATATGTATGTATTTAAAAATATATAAGTATGTTTATCAGTAGTCTGGTTACCATAGTACAGGCTCTGCCTAGTTTGGGATTAGACAGCCTTGTGTGAAAATATTATTATTATTATTCTCTTTATTAAATAACATATACATATTAATTACATTTTTAAATATATTACAAAAGAAATAAAAATACATTTAAAAATATAAAAAATAGTAGACCACCGACATCGGGTACAGGGACCAGGATACCGGTGGTTAGGACTCCAAAGATAGGAACCTCCTCACTATACGAGCCGTGTCAAGTCAGACTGCCTTCTGCATCAGACCGTTGATCCAGCCGTCCAACGTGAGCCTCTTAAGGTGTCGGTCTAGGCTCTTGGTTATCAATCCTTGAGCAGATACGACTATCGGAACAATGATCACTGAATTGACATTCCACATAACGACAATCTCGGGAGATAAATCCAAATATTTTATTTGTTTTTCTTTTTTAACTTTCACGAGATTCTCGTCATGAGGAACGGCGATATCAACAATCATTGCGCGGCGCTCTAATCGATCTATCAGCACAATATCAGGCTTATTGGCAACAATAGTCCTGTCTGTGATAATAGATCGATCCCAATACAACGTGGCCAGACCGTTCTCGAGAACTCGGTATTTAAGGGCAAGCTGTTGGTGTACGATCTCGGCTACTTGATTGTGCCTTTGCAAATATTCACCGTTAGCGAGACGAGAACAACCAGAAACAATATGCCTGATTGATTCGCCAGGACGGTGACATGCCCGACAGATGTCAACCGTACCATCTTTCAGGATATATTTCCGATAGTTATTCGTTATGATAACTGCGTCCATAATCGCACAAACAAAACCTTCAGTTTCTCCGAAGAGATCACCATACCGTAGCCAAGTCGTAGATGCTTTAAAGTCTATATCGGACCCGTTCAGGGCCCTATAAAACAGGCCATGGAGCATGTATTAAAGTTTTTTTTCGAAATCGCGCCAGAACGATTGAGCTTTACAAATATTGGATGATATGAAAAATTAATTGACGAATGAGAGCGAAACGGCGGTCAAAACTTAGTAAAACACGACTCTGTCTTAAAAATAGTTAAGTCAGATACGAGTATCTTTCGCGAAACTTACAAAACTGCGATTTTTTTTTAAATTTTTAACAACTTAACCGCTGTTCTTTTCTTTCATCATCATCAACAGCCTATACTAGTCCTCTGCTGGACATAGGCCTCTCCTTAGAAAGAAGGTTTTAGCCTACTATACCACGCTGGCCAGACGGGTTAGTATAGGGTTTGTGTCAAGTTTTCCTTCTCTCTGCAGTGCTGTTGTTCTGCGTAGTTTTCTCTCTTAGTCGGCTCTTACGACACCTACCTATTTCTTTTCTTTACTTTACACCGACTGATTGTAGTGACCAGAGCTCAACGCACATTAACTTTTCAGCTACCGCCGCCCATCGACACCTGCCCACGGGCGACGGTAGCCCCCTACCATCATCGTCTGCTCGTTAGCCTCCCTATGTCAAAAAGAAATTTAAAAGAGAAGTGGTTCTCTTTTAAATGTAAGTGTCAAAATCAAAATTTGTTTTTCCTTCTGCTTTTTAAGCGTCACTCTTTTGGTTTTTTGTTACAAAACTCATCCTTTTCTGAGCTACTGTCTCGGATATCCTATGTTTCCTTTGTGAGAAATTATAATTTACAATATTTTAACTAACAAGTTACTAACTGGACGTCCACGCTCAGAACACCATGCGTCTGGGCGTGGATGTCTATGTCCCGCGGATTCTGGGAGGGGGAGGGGGCGCAACAGTACTCGACAGGATGCTGCGGTATTTCCGGACCATTACGACGAAGGTTTGAAGACCTACAATAAAACGTACTCCTTCCCAAAAGGCCGGCAACGCGTTTGTGACTACTGAGTTGCAGACGTTCATGGGCGGCGATGGTCACTTTCCATCAGGTAACCCGTCTGCTCATCTGTCCCCTCTGACATAAAAAAAGAAATGGAGTTCAAGCATATTAATGTAGTTTAAATAAATTACTTTAATTTAATATTCGGTATCTTACCGAATATTTATTTGGTATTAATTTATTTGATAGTAATAAGTAATAAGTAGTAAGTAAATAAGGATTACAACTTTAATGAATATATCTATTAATCTAGGCGTTGTTTGTGTGATAAGTATTAGGCAGGTATTTAAAAAAGAAACGCATTTTATATATAAAATTCAGAACATTGTTATCTTGTCTGCTCTGTACAAAGTTACCTATTCTATGGCAGTACCAACTGCAATTACAAGTCAGTGCAAAGTAAACGTCGCCCATATAAATTTTCAATGTAGGAACCTCCATAGATCGGCTCCGAGCTTTCGCAATCAGTAAACTCCTAAAATGTTACTTGTGGTGGACCCAGGACCACATGAAAGTTACCTGTTTAGACCTGTTTCATGTTTTACGAACGAGCTCTGTGAGTTTAAAGCATTCGACTGACATATCAGTGGTTCGCGGTTGCCATTCTAATTGCCAAATTTAGGTAGGTATTTATTTACAAACTACAGCAATATTAACAATA